TCTTTCCCTTCCATTACACTCTTGCACACCAATCGTGAAATCCACTAATTCTAAAAATCTTGAAGGACCAAACAGCAAGCCCCAAATCTAAAATAAGCTGGAAGGGAGAACAAACTTAAATGTAATGATCTGATATTTAGCAAGACATCTCCTTAGGCACTAAAGGTAAAGATTTGTTACTCATTTAGCTGTATTTGTATTCCAATCTAGAGTAGAACCACAACAGCAGTTAGAGGAATTATCCATTTAAAATGCAAGCGAAAAATATGAATAGCTACATAGACCGACAATTGCCTAAGTATTTACGGATATGTCCCCCCAAATAGCAAATACAGCACTACTTCATGTTTGAAGGGTTAGCAACACATCTTTGTGCATGTGCAATCAAAGTATTCACACCTGTCAATCAATTCAAATAATTGGTTTAGAATCAGCGTACGTAGATACATCGGTCACCACTGCCTGGGAAATTGGACTCATTGCCTCTACAGAGTGCCTGCACAGAGCTACACAAGGATGAAAAGGGGGTCGTCTTCTTTAAAGGAGCGCTTCATCATCAGAAGCATTCACTCCATATCAATGGCTGTCAGCAGCAATACTGCTACGTAGATTTCAAATCAAAGTCGTTTTAGCCCCATCTCATGCTACTTCTTCCAGCTGTGGTCTGCAAGGCTGGCGGCTTGCAAAACAGGTTCAGAGAGTCTGGGGAATTTACATGTTAGAACTAGGAGTGTCTTTTGGACTATATCCACGTATTTCTGAAACCAGGCACCACACCAAGAGTATACAAGTGAAACTTTGAAGTCTGTTACAGTAGGTCTGGAGTTCAACATAAGCAAAAAACCCCACCCAGCTTTCTGAAGAGTTAAATACTCTGTGCAGCTTAAGTTTGCTGAGCCCTTACCTCTACCATAAGCTCTTGCTTTCTTTGGATTCAGTTTGGGTTTCAAAGGAGCTCCTGGTTTGAGCTTGGCTTTGGGGAACTGCGACAAGTAAGTCATTACAGAGTGCTCATCCACATCAGGGTGGATAATTTCTTCAGGGGTAATAACCTGAAAGATGATGCAATAAAGTATATTATATTAGTGTTTGGTTGCTGCATGTCAACATAGAAACAGAGCCACAGCACAGATTCTTACACTTCCAAACTCCCACATGCTGATGTGATTTCTTACGTTCATTCTCCCTTAGATACAAACATCATCATTTATTATCTCATGGCAAGAAAATCAAGAAGCTCATTACAGTCCCAATGCGGTTTGAGGGATGCGATACTTTTTGCACTTTGATTATTAGGGGTTTAGTGACAAACTATGTAAGAGCAAGCCAAGACAACTGCAGCTACCCTCTCCCCAGAAGCTACCTGGGGATAACTGAAACTGGAAGTATTAAGACCTCTTAATCCTGCCCTGAACTGCAACAGTCCTGAATTGCAGTGCTTGCAAAGTGAAACTTTTGTCCGGTTTCTTTTCCTGCTCCCAAGATACAAGCTGCTCCAACAGTTCTGGATATTTCAGCACTTCTTTCAAACTTTCAGTATGAAAGCAATCTGGTCTGAAAATACATTGTTCTCTATTTAAAAGTCATCGTCACAGGAGATTTCCTAACCCAGTGAGTTTTTTTCTTCCAGGAATTCAATGCACCAAAAGAACAAACTCACTCAATGGACTATTAAATAGGGCACCACTAAATGTGCACACCCCGCCCCACACATCATTTACATGTTGCAACTCTGGCTATTTTCACTGGAGAGAGCTAAACAAAATCTAACAATTAGCGCTCTGATATGTAACAGCGTATTACATTAAATTTTGCCCTGTTTGGACAATTTCACTCAAGTAAACAAGTGACTTTTAGAAGTGTCAAGTTTCACCTGCTCTTCCAAATCTAAATTCAAGTTTGCTTAAAGCACAAGTTGCAAGTACAACAAAGCTATCTTTTGTGCTTCCGGCACGCGCTCAGCCTGTGTCTTTGCAGCCTGGACTCCCTTACCTGCGGCACCCCCAGCCAGTCGTCTGCCTGCTGCATGGCTTCGCGCGCGTTGTCAACAGGCTTGTTTGGGTCCCAGGTTTCCCAGTCAGGGCACAGGCCTGCAAGCACATTTCAGTTATTTGTCATCTGTAAAGAAGCTTCCCTAACTAAAAAAAAAAAATCAAGTACAAATTCCACAGCTGCTTGTATTATGCTGCTATACAGCTCCTAATGCAGACTTATCCACTTACCATCCTTTAAGAAACACACTGTGAAATTTTGATTTGTGTCAAACCAAAACGAGATGAGCGCATGCTGCTCCCTGAAAATGCTCCCGAGACAACAACTGGCATTTCCAAGGGCTCTCCTCCTAGCACAGATATTCAAAAGCCAATTTGGAGAGATTCCCGCCCACCTTGCCAGCCAAATCAAAAGTCAAGGATAGACTTTCAGTCAGCCACACAAGTGCACTGTTGATTCAACCTGTGGAAGACACCTCTCCAAATTCAGTATCAATATATCTAGCGAGCCTTTACATTCTGCTGGTTCTCCTGCAGCAGACTTCAAAAAGAACATCTCAACTGTTTGCCACAGTGCCCCAAAACGCATTACAGGAGCACCAGCAACCACGTTAAGAAGGCCATTTCAGAGGAAGGTAAGGGAAATGTGCCTCTTCCACACCTCATCACATTACTTGGCCAAAGCAGCACAGCCTTCACTTGCTAAGCACTGAAGTTTCAGGTAGTGTACAGCTTCTGGCTACGTTGTGCTCCCTGTGCAATCCTGTCTCAGGAGAACATATGAAACCTCCTACTGCGCCCTGAATTTGAAAGGTTGTTGGCACTTGCTGTGGGAACAAGCCTATCTTGCAGTTAATAATCAGTATTTGCACCTTTGCCCCTTGCACCCAATACAAAGCTTAGATCCAGCAAGTCTAATAACACAATCACATATTCTGCTTTAAGCCAGTATTTCTCTTGGCCAAGTCATCTACAACATGCTTCTTCTCATAGCTGGCCTCTTCAGACTCCAGTTTTCTTGGGAGCCTCATTCCCATCTCCACCTAAGCAGTGAAAACCTCACCCGATGAAAACAGCAGAGCTGCCACAAGGCAGTAAGGACAACACTGACCATCAGACCAAAGGACTTACCTGGAGCACAGCTGTCAACAAGAGCCCCCAGTGCTTTGCCATCCTGCCAGTTTTGATTGAAGTTTGTGATTGGCAAGTAAGGAATTTTGTTCTGAATCCACCCCAGCAGTCTCTGCTTAGGGGTCTGCTTCTTTGCATCATCATCACCTTCATCTTCCCACACTGGCATGGAAATTGAGTAGTGGAGGATAAGGGTCCATATTAGGCCAAGGATCAACTTTAAGTTTCCATCAACTATGGCTTTACTATCTGGAAGACAAAAGACATAAAACTGATTATGCCACATCCTAAGCGACAGATGCACGCTTATGAAGTGTCTTGCCCAAACTTGTGCCCAGGTAGTCATGGACAAGAGAAGCTACCCAGGTCACTTCAGGCCCTTGTTCAGAGAGAAATTTGTGCCCCGAATTAGATGGGAGGAAAGAGGAGGCTGAGGACTCGGTGTTCCCCAGCTACAACACAAAAGCTGCCCAATATCACTGCAGATGTTCTCACGTAAGTAGATAATCCATCAATTCCAACAAGCCATTGGCCTCAGTCCTATTTTTGACCAGCAAACCCCACAGCACAGCCGTTACTGCAGACTAGTCTTTCTTTTCGCTATTCTGAAGTGCAGGGATTTCCAGCTCCACTTCATCTCTATTTTGTGTCAGTATCTGGCAAGCTGCCGAGTTGGTGCTCAGAAATTGCAGACCCCCCAGTGCTGGTGGGGGATGCCCTGCCACAGGTTATAGACTGCAAGGAAACAGCTCTGGCAGGAGAGACAGGCACACCAGGTCTGCAGGGCTCGTCACCCACCCTTGAAACGTTGCAACATTGGGTTAGAAGAATCAGCAGTTAAAGATCTTTGATATTTTCAATTTAGATGGTAATCGCTACCCAATGTTTTCAGTGGCATTTACATCCTATGAAATAAGCCACATAGGATACAATGGATTTCACAAGAACAGCATCCCAACAGGAGCTGAATGCTCCAGGGCACACCTAAAGCAACATTTAGGAAGCTGCACTCGTACACAAATGCATCCCCACAGACACATCAATAAGTTTGCATTAAAAATGGTAGCAAAACATGCTATGCAATACAATCCAGCAAGGAGTTCAGAATTAGAGCCAAGTCTGGATGCATCAAGACCTAGGTACAAACAGCCAAGTGGGGAGCGGAAGACAATAAGAGATCCTTTTTTGCACTATTACATTTCTGCTTGCACAATCATTTCATTCATGTTACTCAACTACTATAAATTGAGAGTTAAAATGAAAAAACAAGCTCTGGCAAAACCAAGTCACACTTGAGTCTAACAGAAGTTTATCACCACAGTGGCCACCCAACAGCTCTACTTTAAGCTATGTTTATAGCTGCTGGGCATCAAGACCAGACTGTTGTAAAAAGCTGTCTGCCAGGGCGTTTTGGCCTTATGAAGCAAGACCTCTGTAGTTCTGTGAGCATCCCTGTAACATACTTTGGTTTTAGGGGTCACAGGCTAGATACATTACCCTTTGAGTTTGCAGTTGCTGCTCAGGTTATATTATACTTGTAACAATTCCAGTTTGTTAGCGCTCAAAGAAGAGATGCTCTATAACAGTATAAGACCCCCTGAGCCTGACTTATCTTTTCATTTATAGCCGCAAGTTATACCAGGGCACTTCTCTTGTTCTGTCCCCCAATGCAGTGAAAGCAATTACAGAAATTCCTTTTTAGTCAGCAGAAGTTGCAAGTGATCTTTCGTCTGCAGAAGTGTCTGCAAGTCAGCTTCTGTCTGCTCTCCATCTACCTGAGCAAATGTTGAAGTAAAGTCAACTAAAGTGGGATAAAGTCACCTTCCTGCCACCAAGACAGGGATCTTAATGAGTCCTAGCTATCAAAGGAAAATTGTTCAGCACTTCAGTGGCCCCCTCAAGTTTAAATTCAGAGTCTTTACAAGTATCGAGTCCTCTGTGCTTCACTTCACCATGGCCAGCAGTTGCTGGGCACGCATTAGCTCGCTCCTCTTCAGTTACAGAGACCGCAGCAGTAACCCAATACCATGCTATCAAAACAAAAAGATCGCTCGACTTCCAAAAGAAAAAAAAAAGGAAAGAAAGAAGAGAGTGATTATAGAGAATAGTAACCAAGAACAGTAAGCACCAGAGTGTTCGCTTTAACTCAATGCTCAGATGAAGTAGTTAATGTTTACATGGTTTCCCAACGGAACAGTATGTTCTAAGCAGATAATACTGTAACATCAGACCTTGAATGGCATTTTGCCTTTCTGGACAGCTAACATCTGCTCTCTACTTGTATTTTATTTTTATTGTTTTAAACATCAATTTTGACTAATCTTATAGAATTTTGATAAGCGTCTAACACATGACTGCTCATAGCTGATTTTGCATCCAGACCGAGATATATGATAGCTATGAAGTGATTAAACCCCGCCAGATTGTAACTACAAGTTCTAAGGCAAAAGTCTACACCACGTAAGTAGTCTTGTCTCGTAGCGACAATTAAACAGATAGCCCTTTGTACTCCTCCATTTCCTCACTGCTTTCAGCCGAATCCCAAGCTATTCAGGGGAGAGAAGATGGTCCATTACAACTTATCAAGGAAAGCTTTCCTGAAAGGAATTGCATCACAGCACAAGGAAGAGGTGCATCTTACAGCTCTTCAGAAGACACAGACCCGAAACTCTCCCGGCAGCAAGACCCAGTGCTCAAGCTTCCCAAGCTAGAATTACGGGCTGGAAACGTGCAAAAATCAGAAGGGTAGCGCCTGCAGCGGGAGCCCCTTACTGCCCACTCTCGCACCCGAGCGGCTGCTCTTCGCTCTGCCCCTGCCTGCAGTACTTCCATCCGACACGACCACAACAGAGCGATTCATTCACAAGGAAGTTTTAGAGTAAACTGCTAGCAATCGCATCACCAAGCCAGAAATTCCTCAGAGCATTAGTTTCAGATTTATACTGACATCGGCATTTTTACTAGAGTGGACCCAGCGATGATTTAGTACACCAAAATTAAATTTGTTTCAGAAAGCCATCCCGTGTTCCCAGGGATGAAAGCCAGCAAGACAGTCACCTCAAGTATGCTGCTACACACACATTACTTAAGATAAAGAATGGCCTATTTCATGTTTACAGCACATAAATAACGCCTATATGCAGATGTGCCACGGTTGCCGCAGCAGCCGGCTCCGTGTTAGTCAGCCAAAGCCGCTTCCTCCAATGCTTCATCGCCATTTCCGAGGGCATGACTCAGCAGCAGCCTTTGACCAGAGGAAAAGGAGCGCGCACACACAAAAGACAGCTTCACATTAGCAACAGGAATCTCCCATCTTATCAGGGCTCATCTAGAGAGGCCGGGGAGCAAGGCAGTTTCCCTAATTACAGGAAAAGGTTCGAGCGGCTTGCAATTGGAACGGGACAGTTCTTCCTCCTTGGGGGCTGCTAACATCCCTGCAACTGTATTTTGTCAGTAAAGTTAGTATACTCTTAAGGTTTCCAAATTTCCTGATGTGCATAGGGATCTCATGACATAATTTTTTCCAAGTCTGCTTGTAGGAGGACTTGTCTGCTCTCATCTGGGGTGGGGAAGGGGGAGGGAAACGGACTCGCAGCCAGAACAGGAGAACTTCAGCAGAGCCGCCCGCATGCTCTTCCCACAAACTGCACCTCTTCCAGCTTAAGTGGATCTCAGGCTCCAACTTGCAACTCACCCACAAGTTTGCCTGGGCTCAAGATCTGCAACACGATAGAAAAGGACCTTCCAAGTTCAAGAAAAGATCCTGCATCGCTGAGAACTGCATCACGAAACTCCTGCCATCTGCCCGAAACACTGCCCCGTCTACACCAAAGGGGAGGCTGTTTCAGGACCTTGCTCCAGTCTGCGATACTCATTTGTCTGCAGAGAAACAGTCTAGTCTATCCAGTTAGCCTTCCTCTGCAGGCTGAGCTTCCCAGCACCGCGTGAAGCTTGGCTCCCTTCAGCAGCCTACCATCTCTCCAGAAGAGCCTCCACCTTGGTGGTGTCATCTTAACTGACTGACTAAAAATAATCAGAAGTTCATTCTCTTCGGGGTCTCTCTAGGTATTAAGCCCTGCCCAGTAAAATAAGCATCTATTAACAGGACCTCCATCAGGAGGATAGAGCCTGCCAACCCTGACAGTAGTTTAGAACAACCAAAGCGGCCAGTGTCCTGCACCAGCTTGGAGCTCAGACTGCCAGTCTGATACAGCCAACATTTTGGAACGGTGAAAGATTCCTCCAGTTCCAACAGCGCTTAGTATCTAAAATTGCTGCTTCATATACTATTTTGTACCCTAATACAGCTGGGTTTCCAACGGATTCCAGGCATTCCCGGTTTGCCTCAGGACACTTTTGCTAGCTATACTAGACTGGAAAATGGATTGTAAGAACAGCAGATCTTGCAGCAGTGCTTTCCTACTAGGAACACTACTTTTAGCTGCGCTTATTATTCACATAAGCTCTGCTTTAGAGCTTTACTGAGCCTTTCAAGCTACATTTCTCAGTTACTCCTCTGGAACTTGCAAGCTATTTATAGCATAAAGATATGCATACTAATTGTGGTCACCACTTCAGAATTACAGTGTAACTGCGCAGCCCCTTGCATATTCATTTCCCACTACCGGCAGGTTAGCAGCACAATGCTTGGCATTCAGCTTTGATAAGTTAGGTACATCGAAGAAAACTCTCTGTGCTATGACATGGAGAGACACTACAGCAGATTTACACAACCCTCACAGGACAAAAGCTTAAGCTTTTATTGTATGCTCGCCCCCTCATCAGCTACACCATGAAGCATCTCCACTTGGTAGCTTTCAAAGAACTAAACTTCATCCCTCTCTTTATTTAAAGACAGCTGGAGCAAGAGTTTCCTCTCCTCTACCAGGCTTCACTTCTGCTCTTGGACCAGCCTGAGCGTACCAACTTCTTACGTGCTTGTCCTGCCCAGGGGGACAGTGAGGAGGCTGCCCTGACAAGCCTGCATATCGTCCGCAGTAAACGAATGTGTCTAATTTTCTAAGCATGTGTTTACTTCATGGCACGAGGCAAGTCTCCCCAGATTCAAGGAGTCCTCCCTGTGCCGACTGACAGCGATAGCAGCCGCTCCCTGCCTTTCACCGGTGCTAAGGAAGTGAGTTGACATATCTTGTCTGCCAGGATAATTTAGCAGGCCTGAAAATTTCTCTGCAGCACCTTTATAGACAGCTCAAGTGCAACCCCCCGCCCCCAAGAAAATACTGCAATCT